TAAAAAAATTTACTCGTGCTTATTTATTCCAAATTGCACTCAAAATCATGTGATTACATGCACTAACATCACTCACAAGCGTTACTGTTCCCCTTCAACAGTCAACGACACCAGTCATTAAAAGTAATATGGAATCTGGACCAGCTCCCTTGAAAAGACGGTTAGTGTTTGCAGATGTCATGCCTTGTGTTAACATGTTTATTGTTAAACACTCCTTGTTCAGCTTTTTTAAGGATTAGGAGTGGTCATTGGTTTATGTTATTTAGGACAATGTATTTTTTACCAGCGAGTCTTCACAGAATGACAAATAGCGTCCACCTTTACAAATTATGTTTTTGCTACCAAATCTGTACACTTTACAAGGAAGATGATGATGTATTGACAACATTAAGGGAATTCCTCTCGTAATCTCTTTAATAAATGACTGCTGAGCTAAGGCATCATTTATCATCCTTGTCAGTTCCTTCCTGACGAACAGACCTTTATCTCAGTCATTGTGACGGACACTGCAATTGCATGTAAACAGTGAATCGTTTGATACTTTTTGTTGTTACTCTCGGTTGGAGCCAACCTCTCATTAGTGATAGTTTTTGAAAGGGAGAGCATTTCAAATTTTGAGTAAAAGGCAAATACTCCAAAATCCGAAAAAAGTGGCAAAGAAACAAGCAAGTGTTTGAAGCTCTGTTTGGTGGATGTGATGATGTTGTAGTTGATGTCGATTACTTTGAGGATTTAGATGACTCTAGGGCTGGAGTGTTAAAATGGAAGCTAAAGGAAGTGCATGCAGCCTGATAAATGTAGATTCGTGGGGGTGCTTACAGTTAATTGGAACCGAGTTGCTAGACCCATCTTTGGAGAAAATTCCATTAAAAATTAAAATTGTCTTGCGTGGTCAATCGAACAATTTTCAAATTTTATCCACAGAAATAAAAACAAAAATTAATAAAAAGGATAAAATGAAGTGTTTGTGAACTTTTGAATTTATCAACTTTCAGTCTAGCCAGTCAGTTCTAACAAATTGTAATTGCCCCTGAGTAACCTTTGCTTAATTTATGCATGTTCTCTTTTAAGCGCTTTTTTCCAGCCAAGGGACTTAACGGTAAAATAATCTCTGTTCACAGCAAAAGTTAATCTTCGCTTACAAATACTTTCGGGATTACTGGTCCAAAGCAAGCTGTAAACTGAACACTCATCCAGCTGTTCTTCAATCCTGTTTTGTCAGGAAGGCTTTCTTTCTCTGTAGTCAGCTGGCATTGCTCCTATTACCTTGATGTTCTGTAACAAATGTTGTATTCCCAACCCCTCCCCCCCTCCCCCCAGGTTGTCTATTTCTCAGCGGATAGGTACCATTGTGAGTCTAATATTAATATTAACTGTTATGCCACCTCACTTTGTCAGAAGTTACTTTGCGCTGCAGAAAACTATGGTCAGTTACAATTTGAAGCTGTTTCTGAAGAATTGCGTTATTCGCTCGTTCGTTTTGAATTTGAAAATTAACGAGTCTAACATGACCTAAGCCCTGTTATAGTACATGGATTTTTAACGTGAAACTTATTTTTCCTTCCTTTTCAGTCTCTCTGAATCATCTAGAGCTAGATTGCTGCGTAATGTACCCCCTGCTAACAACCCTGGACTACTGTATGTAGAAGTTGATACTAACACTTTTCTAACACTATCTTGAGCTGCATTGCTTATCTCTCTAGACTGAGTAAGCTTGCTGTTGTACGTGAAACTGCTCTGTGGGCTTATCTTCTTTGCTGCGTCTTTCACTTTATCTTTTCTACTTGATACGTAACTCTTTGCATGTGGGTCTCTCTTGATGTTCTTGACTTCCTTTCTTTGCGGACTGGCACTAAAACAAAATGATCATTCAAATTCCCGAAACTCGGAATGACAATGCATGAATTTGACTGAAAATGAAACGCAGCGTATCCGTCGTAAATGATTCGAAAGAATCTGTTTCTGGGACACCAAGCACAGATTGATCCTCGAGAAGCAGAGAGATCAATTCCAGTGCGTGGTGTTCGTGGTGCCAGTCCTGCAAGACTTCTATTCATGCAACCTCTGTGGCTTCTTCATTTCATAGGAGCTCCATAACAAGAATAAAGGACCAAAACCTTTTTCTCAGGGACATCAATCAGGAGAGGGCGCAGATGGAGGCCAGTAAGGAGCAGCTGTCCACCTCCCCCAAGAGCCGCACGTCCAGGCCGCCGAGTTTCGCCGACTCGCCCAAAGAGGACAAGGAAAACGAGAAGGAGAAACGAGACGGTTCCAACAAAGATGACAGTGGATCTGAATCAGATACGGAGGACAGCTCTGAAGAGTCCAGTGAAGAGGATTCTGAGGAAGAGGAGCGGGGTGGCCAGCCAGCCGTGAACTCAGTCACTGCCAGGACCAGACCCACGGTTAATTCTCTTCCAGCTTATTCTGTAGTCAATTCGCTTAAAAAACCCGTGGATGAGTCCGACTCAGAGGAAGAAACCGGCAGTGAAACCGAGGAGTCCTCCGAAGAGGAGGGGGAGGAAGAAGAGCCGGTAAAACGTGATACACGGACAAGTATAACCAGTTCTACGACGCGACCGTCCGCGCCTTCGCGTTTTCAGAGCGCGCCTGCTAGTGCGCCATCTAAACCTGGGGTGGGAGGCACCTCGAAGCTTCTGAAATCCCCCTTCTTAGACAATGATAAGAAGGCAAACAATCCTTCTTCACCTGTTTCAGAAACTGAACCCTATACTAGGACTTCAAGGTTTGGTGATAGGGGTGACGGTAAAGAAGAAACTAAATCACGGTTTGGGAGCTACGTGACACGTACTACGGCTGATACAACGAGTAATGCGACCAGCACAACTACTAGTGCGGCTCGGAGCGGAATTAGCTCCACACCTAGCGAGGACACTCTAGCAAAAACAAAACGGCAGACTAAGAAGGTCACACAGAGGGCTGGTACCTCTTATGTAGGATTTAGCGGAAGGGGAAATGCAGACGACGATGAGATGAACGGAGAAGATGGCAAGAGTAATGATATCGCTCACGGGAAGGGAGCAGAAGAACGGAAGGTAACAGTACATACATGCAGTAATATTGCTGGTGAACAACACGGCTCGCATCACTTAAGTGCTGTCATTGTTGTTTTTCTGTGTTATTCTTATAATTGTTTTCATCATCATTAGTGTAATATAGGTGGTTTGCAACCAATCTCTAGAGACTCGGGTAACAATGGTGAAAGGAACAAATGCTGGTGGACGAACAAAAGAAGCTAATGAGATATCTATTGTTTACGTCCACCAACATGGCGGCGATGACGTAACGTGCAAACCATCTATTGTACTACCTGCATGCAATGATATTATTAGTGCACAACGGGGCTTGCAACAGGGTTTGTTATGACAATTATCATCATTATTATTTAGTAATATTATTATTATTATTATCATTATTTTGTGAATGATGTGTTTGCCTTCAACTGCTAGCAGTTTGTTTTTCACCTCACTAAGAAACAACTTTTGTACTAATTTTTCATACAAAATGCTTTTTATTCGAGTAACGACCTGCAAATAAATGTCTTCCCCTTTCCTTTCAGTCCCTATCTTTCATTTTTTCCTTTCTAATTTTTTGTGGTTGTTGTTTGAAGATTTGCTCTGTCTGCGGAAAATAAATGAAAATTTTAAAGAATGATAAACAATTGTGACAAAAGGTGTAAGAATAGACGGAGATTAAAACCAAAATGCTTTGCAAGGTGTTGAATTGCCTGCACCATCACCGAATGGCGTGCAAACTTCATCGGGCAGTATTGTTATAAATTCACTTCAGTAAACACGCCGACGCGCCGAATTCTAGTAAATCATGCAGGTATGGATCGTAGCAACAGCTTAAGACAACATAGAGATTTACATGTTGATTGTGTTGACAGAATGCCACGAAGGGGCTCGTTATATACCAATTGTCAAAGGTTCTTTGCCAAATGCGTGGGAAGGTTTGCCTTTTTAATTAGTCCGGCTCATTAATTATTCATCGGAAGCCTCTCTGGCCGAGCTGAAACAATTGAAATAAAAATGGCGAAACTGAAATTTGAGCCAGACCAATAGTTGTTCACCGTAGTGTATTGTGAAGACCAGTTTGTTCACAGCCTGAGCTGGAAGTTGTCCCGCTAGTGTCTTGTTTCTGCGATCGAGAGGTGATCACGAAGTTTCGCTCATGTCGTATCTGACTCGTCGTTTCGACCAACCAAGTTATGGAAGTCAAAAGAATTACACGTCAAGAACTCAGGTAACGTATTCTCTTGGGTTCAAAGCGGCCGTATTTTTGTAGGGATTAGGAAGTGAAATTATTGTTTCAGTGCTTAGGCTGTTAATCCGTCCTGCGCAACCATCGCTCGATCGGGAACTATTGCGTACATTTGTACTTGTTTGTTAACAGTCGATATGTTGCATTCCGAATTTACTATCGATCTTGTCGGGCCTGGTTTTATCTTCTGTTCACCTTCCTAAAGTGAACAGCCCTTTTCTCTTGCTGACCTTATGTACGTGTACAGGAGCTGACTTTGCAGACTTGGGAGGGTAATTTCATTATCGTGTTCAATGCAATAGAGCCAGGCGGAATTAATTTCTATTGACCGACATATTTCATTCTCGCCGCGGCGCTGACTACAAAAGTTATTTTCCTCATTATCAACAACACATTGTATTTATTCACTGGTGACATTTGCGTGGATAACGTGGATAGCCTATTGAGAAACAGAAAGTTTATTATCTTGCGGGTCCTTTATGTGGATTGTAGCAAATCTCTTAAGATGTATAGCTCTCAGTGGGGCGTTAATAGTCGAAGATCGTGTTCTGTTACGTTTCCAAAGCTTCTTCACGCATTATTACTCAAGACGAGAGAAATTGGTCTTTAATGAAATTTCAACTTTGCCATTATCTTCAGACACGAGCCGCCAGCATTTTTTTGTTACAGGTCAGAAATAATTTAACCAGATAGGGCTTTTGATAGAGGCAAATAATCGGCTCTAAAGTGGTTAATTAGCTTTTTGTTAAGTTATCTCGTGCATTTCATTCACGCCCATTTCGCATACAATAAACCTCTCGCGTCTGTCAGAGTTTAACAAACATATTCGGTGTTTTGAGGTAGATCTCAATCGCCATTTGTAAAGTCAGATCTTCAAATGACAACTCCAGGAAGGGTAGAAATTCATTGATTTGCGGTGGGTCATTTTTTTAAAGACCAGATGTTGAACGCAATCATCGCGAGGGCGAATATCTGACGTTCTTGTCAGCAGGGCAAATATGTCAAGTCGCGTAGGGAATGTAAACTTCCTACTGGTATTATTTACTTCTGTTTTCGGAAAGCAGTAGTTACGATAAGTCAGATGCGATTCGATGGTAAACAATCCATGTGGCGAACTCCCAATTATAGTACCCACTTTCTAAAGAGGGTGAACACGTTTAATCTGTTGGCCATTTCACAACAGCTGAATTACCTTCTGCATTCTACTCTCGCTGTCCTGCTGATTTTCATCAGTATGTTAGGTAATTTAACGCTAGCTCAGGGGTTGACGTTTCGGGGCGTTTTAACCTCTAAGATATTTGCATAAGGGGCAAACCTCTTGTCCCAAAGCTTGCTTTCAGGAGATGTCGTTATTTACATTTTGACGGTATATTCAATTAGTAGTCTATGGAATGTTGCTAAGTGGTCCAGACGCCATTTGCTTTTGTTACGCGCAGACTTTCTATGAAGCTTACCCCCACTAGCTTTTTTGTTTGGGAATCATTCTATCTTGCAGAATTAAGGCTGTAGTAAACATTCTTCATTTTGTGTATCATAAACGTTTTACTTTACGGCTTAAACCAGCACTATGAGTAGTGTTAATTACGTAACTATGAATAGAAATGGCCGACTACGCCCTTATTTAAAAGAACAGTTTATGTTCTGGCAAGACTTTCCTTGTTTTTTTTATTAATCGCATTTGTTTGGCCCTATAGTCATGTTTTATGTCTCTGAGTAAGTATAGCCATGTTTGTTCTAAAGAACAGTTTCGTGCTTTCTCATTCATTATATGGCAGTGTCAGCATTCTTTTATACCACGGTGAGGGCATTAGTCCTTCCCGTGAACCTATTACAATATTTTAGGTGCGCGCGAAAATTTTATACTTTCTTCCCGACGGGGAAGAGAGAAGGAAGGGTGGAATCTTGTTACCAACTCACAACCATATTGTCAAATTGCAACTGTATTGAACCAAGTGAGTAGCAACTTCGATTAGAAGGGTTTTGGCGCTGCCCCTAATAACAGTTGAAATCAAGAAATTATCATGTGTTTGACTTGCATTCTTCCTTATCAGTTCAGGTGGGCTTACGATGTAGCTTCTTACCACCTGCCTTTGTATGTATCGTGTAACTTTGTCACGAGCTCTAGATTCTTTTTTTTTTTTGTTGTTTTGTTTTGTTTTGTTTTTTTTCTTTTCAAACTTTTTTTTAAAACTTGAGAGCACTGTCATTGTGAGTTTTCTTCATTGTAGGACACGTCTGTGCGGCGGAATTCTAAGGAAGAGACAAAGTCGACGAGACCAACCTCTACTGCCGACAAGTTCCTGAGTCGGCGGAACAGACCCATTGAAACAGTCGAGGACAAGAACGAGGAAGCCAAGATCCCGGAGTGGAAAAGGAGACAAATGGAACGAGAGAGGGAAAGAGAAAAGGAGAAAGAAAAAGAACAAGAGAAGGAGAGAGAACGACAAAAGGAAAGGGAACGAGGGAAGGAGAAAGAGAAGGAGAGTGAGATGCCGAGTTATCGCCGCCCCAGGCAAGACAGGGAAAAAGACAAAGAAAAAGAGAAGGAAGAGAAGGAAAAGGAGGATGATGACTCCTCTGCACTGGCTACACAGCGGGCGAGAAGGGCCAGGAGGCTGATTAATAAACGCCGCGGAGGGGTGGGTAGTTTTAGCCTGCTTCGGAACCGGACGTCTCCATACCTTACCTCTGTCCTCTTTTTCCAACGCTAGAGATCTATTGGAAAAGCATCATAGTCAAATTATTTCAGCGTAGGTCTTTTGCCTCCTATCAGTAATTCTCAAATTGGGGCAGAGGAATCATATAGTTTGTAGTTAAATGGAAGCTGTCAAGCTTTGATCCCAAAAAAGTAAATTTCTTTAGACTTAGCAGCCTTCTTGTAAACTACTAATTCTAACCATTTCTTTTGATCGTTTTTCCAGAGCGACGAGGAGGAAACGGAAGAGGCCAAAGACCCAAAAAAGAACACAAACCTAAACGAGGAAAATGATGAGAAAGCCTCTCTGGCCAGCAGAAGACGATCTCAAGAAACTAGACACGACGAGGTTAAGGTATGTTTGGGCGTGACACCGGGGGATGCCGTTATCGCCGAATGCAGGACTTGAAAGCAAAATCGCCTCGGCGGGCTGGCTTTTCATGTAAAACCAACTAATATCCTTTCATTTTCCCTCCTTTTGTAGAGCACCACGGACAGAATAAGAGTTGGCAGGTACGTTCTCTGATTCTAGCCGGTTGGTCATCTTTTATGTAGCAGATCATGTGCAGTTTTGTCTGAAAGTTTCAATCGTTGTTGTCACTCTATTACGGGCATACCCAAAGCCTGCTTTGAATGGTTGCGAGTCTTTTGACTTATTGCTCTTCTCGTTTTTTCATTTTTCCAGAACCACTGATTCTAAAGGACCCTTTGGGACCTCCAAGGTTAGAAACATTTAGTTATTTCAATGTGCTGACTTCAAAACGGAATATCCATCACCGTAAAGGAAGTAGTTGCTATGAAAGATTATGAAAGATTTATTAAGGTATTGCTTTTTTAATTTTTTTTTTTCTAACAGGCGAACACCATTATAACAGAAACAGATCCCCAGAAGCTGAAGGAAAGATTACAAGTAGCCCAGTTAGAACTTCAAGAATACAAAGTTAAACTAGAAAAGGCCTTACAAGTAGGTTATAGTATTGAAATGTTTTGAGTTTTAACCATTTTAAAGGAAAGTGTACTTGTAAACCATGTCTAATCGTAGCATTTTCTCTGCAGGCAAAAGAAGAACTTGAAAGAAAATACTCAAACGTAGAGGACGACTTAAAGGTGAGTATGCCTTGTGTTGTTTCGTTTTACTCTTTCTTTGTCTTTGTAGCTATCTTTTAAGATCTACTGCTGTTACTTTTTGTCCGAGAAATCGGTGTGGCATGTCCCACATCATCATACAATGTGGCGTGTGTATGAAGAGAAGGTGCGAAAAGATGACAGTGTTGTTTAAGCTTCCACCGTGTACCGACGCACCCAGGAGATTTTATTTTGACTTGAGGTAGTAATGCTGGAAGGGAATTGCTGACAGAAATCAATCTGTGACCACATCTAGGTGTTGACAAACTTTTCATTGCTGACCGCACAGCTTACTGAAGTGTTCTCTGTCCCCCCACCCCTCATGCGCGGTCAATTTACTTTATTCTGCTGAAGTGGCAGATTTTTGACAACATTCGTGGCTAATCGCTTGACCTTACTTTCAACAGCAACTAACGGACTTGAAAGCGGACAACCAAAGGCTGAAAGACGAGAACGGTGCCTTAATCCGTGTTATAAGCAAGTTATCACGACCTCCCACTTGACCGGCAACCATGGTTTGTAGTAAGGCAAACGGGAGACATTTAGAAGTTGATAATGCCGATAAACGATAACCCCTCTTTCCTGGTCTTAAACTGTACCTATTTATTCAGTACGAGACCACAACTTAGATGTTCTTTAATTATGCTAGGAGGGAGGGGTGGCAGCGGATGGTCGGGTTTTGACGAAAGCCTTCCTTTTCCCGCCAGCCTGGAGTACAATGATGAGGTCTTGGTTGGGTTCGTTTTTTTCCTTGTTGTAATGTAGGTATGTGTATGTTTTGTAATTGGACGTGAGTCGGTAAGAGAGATAACGAAGATCAGTCGCCACGTTGTAAACAAAAGTAAACAGAGGAAGATTAAATACGATTTTACAATTGAATAATTTGTGAACTTCCCTTAAAAAGCCCATGTTCTGCCAATTTCTAATGCAGTTTTCTATAAGTGTATATTGTAGTTAAACGGCCGAAGTGCTTTTCATTAGTTACGCAGAACTTTTTGTCTGCTAGAAGCTTTTCTATTTTGTGACACTCTTGAGGGTCAGTGATATTAATAAGAATAACAAATTAATGATAATCAATCCCATTGCTAAAGGTTCAACTACTGTAGTAAAGTTTAGTTTTGTACGACTTTTTGCATAGACGATTCAATAGAACCAAACTGTGCTTGCTTCTTGTAGGAAGAAATAAGAAAAGAATACAAATACGAACCTTTTCGACTCTGTCGCGCGATTCTGTTTGATTGAGGGCAAATTCAGATTAATCAAGAGACAAGAAGAAGAAAAGACGAATTTAATAGCAGTCAAAGGAACCTGTTATCTCAAAAAAATAGTTTGGCGCCGTCGCAAATATAATTGTATTGAAATTAACATTTATTATATTGTATCCTTGTTATTGTGCGTATAAATTCTAATGATCTCAGTTAGCTAGGGTTACGCGTAATAAGAGCTGCTTCAGGTGCGCAATCTTGGATTTTGACTCGTCGCGCAGCCGGCTTTCCAATTGGATGAGTTGACTGCGTGACAGCCAAAGGAGCGGTTGCACATGAGGGTAGGGCAACGTACTAGTCTATGATTGGTTCCAAGGCAGTCGAGGAAATAAGAACTTGTTCGTGCGGAATCGCATAACCATAACTTTCTTAGTTGCATGACTTAAAGCTAAAGTATTACAGTAGTTTTATGACTAAGCAGCAAGATCCGTTGAACTTTGTCCGTCCATTGTCGTTGGATAAGACAAGAACGAGTGTTATTTCTCCGACTGAAAGTATGAAATCTAACTTAATGCGCTTGCTGGAACGAGGTAGAGCCATTATTGTGAATCCACAGGCAACTTTAGATGTTATTCTTCGGGCTTCTTCACAAATACTCCACAATGTCAAATTTTTATCTTCACTTTTCAGATCTGGATGTTGCGCCAATTTATGGCGGTCATCTTGTATTGGTAAATCCGACTTCAAATTAATCACTGAGGGTGACCCTTTCTTATGTTAGTGGAATCCACTCAGTTTCCTAAAAGGGTCAGAACGTGGCTTTACCTCACCAGAGTCTCAAAGGCCTGAGTCTCTAAACTGGCCAGAGTCTCTGCTGTGCACTTAAGCGCGGCAAGCTTTATTCGACAGTGCTGTAACAGTAGCTCTCTATCTTTTTATTTCCATGATTATGGACAAAACAAATCTTTTTTGATTAGTTGTCCCGTATTTGTTGGTTCTGTGTTGAATACGAAGCCTAACTGCTATAAATATACCAGTCTCTTATAAATGTTGTGTGGCTTGTTCGTTCTGTCTCCCATGCCTGTTGCTTCTAAACCTGTTGAGACGATTTAGAAGAAGAGAACACCCCGAAAGCATTCTCAGTTTGCTTAGCATGTGGTGCGTTGGACTATTTCTTCCCCTAGAATTTTGTCCTCATCCATTTTTTCTTTGAAAATTTTTGGTTTAAATACAAGATTTGGCTGTTTGGCGAGGTCGGTGCGTGGTTAGCTTGTTGGTACCGACAGTGTTGACGAGATGTCAGCGTACTTTTGGTTTCAACAAAAGCATTTTTTGAATCAGTTGTCCTCGCCCAATCAATCGTTCAGTTAATAGTGGTTATTGAACTGAGGGGAGTGCAATAGTCGCATTTTACAGTGTGTGCTTGGTTGCCAAGCCTTCGAACGAGAGTGAGGCTCGGGTGACCTTGTTGTATGATACAAACCTTGCTGCTCTTTAATTGTAAATAACTTTGTTATCATGCTAACTAGATACTGGTCTTTATCACGACAAGGTCACCTTCGGCCTCACTCCAAATCAAGGGCTTGGCAACTAAGTTTACGACTAAAATGACCTATTTGGTGTGAAATGAAACGTGGGCGCAAAGAGAGTTTGATTTGAAATCGCAAGTAGGATATCACACCAAAATTGCACTCCACCCAGTTTAATTACTACTTTATTGCAATCACGAAATTCAGTCCCTCAATAAAAGTTATTTTTAGCCTGTACTAATATTTTATCGCAACTGATTCAGCATAATGAGCTAGTTTGTAATAAGTTGCAAAAGTTCTATCTCAGTTTGCTGCATGATTTCCTAATTAAGTCTTATAATTTTATTGGTGGTGGTTGTTTAGTAAAGCTGTTTCATTGGCTGGGAAAAAGACGATTTAAAACATAAAATGGTTCGAGTTGTATATAAATCGCACCGATGGGAGCCAATCAGATTACAAGAATTACAAGTGATTTCAAAATGGATGAAATAAATCCATCATCAATCCAGCAATCAATCGATTGACCGATCGATCCCCTGACGATCATTGTGCTAGTGTTGAGGGAACGTGCACCTTTTCTCATTGATTTACATACTGATGTACTTAAAGACCTAATGTCACGTCCCTCAGGTAGGATCCAGAAAGTAAGGAATTATTCCGCTGTGATCTTGACCAAGAGACTCGATCACCAAGCACATGTATAGAAACGTATCACAACGGAGCAGTTGACATGTCTGATCTTATTTCTCTGCTAACTTTGTATCAATAGGGTTAGGGAAGGTAAGTTGTTTCAAGATAATCATGATAACTAAGACAGAGGTTTGGGAAAAGTCTGAAATTAAAATCTGAGGAGGTGATACAATCCTATGAACTCGCTAAACCTTAACATCGTAGACATAGGTGGGGGCCCATGCTTGGATGAGGGGCTAAAAACTTGGTGTTGTAAATTTTCTTTTCTCAAACTTATTCACACCCCTGAATTTTAAGTTTGAAAAGCTTACCTCCAAAAGCATTGCATGTTGAAGTGGTCAGGTCCTACACGGTCATGCCTGACAGAAAGAGGAGTGCAAGGTAATGAGGTCAATACTTTATCAGTTATCTCTCTCGTATAATTATGGGACTAACCTACGGGCACTGCGATCTAATCTCCGCTGCTGATTTATTATTATTATTATTATTATTATTATTATTCATTATTATGATGATTATCTCTGTTTTTTCTTTTTAATTATTCAATGATAAAACTCAGCTTGTATGGGTAGTACACTTGCTTCAAAACCAGCCAGTGAAGAGTTTGCTTCATGAAGGAGGAAGGCATAAGCCAATGAAGGAAAAAAAACTCACGAGACGAGATAAACCTACATGCGTTGTTAAGGCGCCGATTAGGGCATTCATAAAACCAAGCGATTTGAGCCGGAATACTTCGTCACTGCCTGTCCTTGCTACGTTGTCAATGCAGCAGATTGAGGATTAATCTCTGAAAAAGGAAACCGTTGGGAGGGCGAGGTTTCTTATCGATAAAAGGGGCAAACAGAAACACCAAATAGAATCGAAAATACATATTGGCATTCTAAATTTTTCAGCGCTTCTATAACTGATTTAGCAACGATGGGTAACCACTTAAGAACTTAGATTAAAAAATCTGCGCAACAGGTAAGAATCAAAGGCGGAAGTTTGTGCTCAGTAAAACTGGGAGTGAAGCATGGTCATCCACATGTTCCAATTAGGTTTGGAAAAGTAATTATGCGTAAAAAATCTATAAACGGAAACTTTCTCATATTTTGGTTGACCAATTTGACAAAGATTTAAGAGCCTCCCTGAATCTTAAAAAAAAAAAGCCTCTTCCTTCGGCAACAAGGTATTGGGGTGGAAACTGAAGTAACCGAGAGAAAACTAGAGAGCAGTTTACAAGTCATTCCAATCCAATTAAACATTAAGTATTGGCTCAAAGTGGACTCTTATCTTTCACTTGTAATTTTCCTCCCAAGTTGACATTTCCCCTTTGAAAAGACGAAAATGGACTTCCTATTTTAGTTATTCAACCCCAAATTCCGGAACGTACTACCAAGTTTAGGGAGTTTAGGGAGCTTATGGCGACTCACCACAAACCGAACATTTCGTCATAGATATCCCCCTGCGGTTGAGCTAATACTTGGTTAACAGAACCACATATAATAACAAAAACTGAAAGGAAAGAAAAAAGGTAAAAATCCTGTAAGCTGAACCAGAGAATTTTTAACTGTAGTACGTTTAGCACGAACGATGGCAGTCATTTGAAGGTTAATAGAAGGGTCAATAATCTAGGTTACATCACTAAAACTGATGCGTCATAATAGAAGGTTCGATATAGGTGAGGCCGATTCACGTCATTTACATGACATTTATTTCCGTCTCAAGCTAAACACGTAGAGGAAAACGTGCAAATCAAATTATTTTGAATTTGTTGCGGGTGTTTTAATAAGCAAGTGTTGTCAACAGTATTTGTTGGTCCAATTATGGCTGTCCATCTAGGCGTTGGGTATATTCCTTTCGAGACAGTTTCGCGCGCTCGAAAGTATCTCCAAAATTCACCCTTCAGAGGCCATCGATATCGACCGCATCTGAGTGCGTTCCTGTCCCAAGAAAGCAACTGCCTTATTATGCACAATATTCTAAAATAAAGTTAGTTGTAGGAACTGAACATCTCAAAGTATCTATATTCCATAGGTTACATAATTTACATGGCTGTATATTTGTCATTTGTTTTAAGGTTTCTCCTACAAAAATTTAAATGAATTAGAAAACTTAACGGGGTCTGACGCCTACTTATGTGACTAAATTGTTGAACCAGTATATCCCCAACAGGTATCAGTCATGATTTTTTTACATATAAGACAATTTGGTTTTATCAATCGAGTTTATTTGAACTGGCCACCGTATAAAGTTTCACTAAAGCTGACGTTTCGACCGTTAGCTCGTCGCAAGATCGAAATATTCGCTCTGACAAGGGGCTAACGCATGATAATGAATTATAGCGGGTACAAACGAACTTAATTGACTCTGCGTCTTCTTCTGGTCTCCTCTAGATTATTAACTTAATTGATTAATATTTTTTCTTGTTGGAAATTATCAGTAAGATCTCTCATTGTCCAACTGCATAGCGTAGAGTACAAATAATGTGCGAAAAAAGAACAAATATCCTAGGATGTAGTACCGTGTTGGTTATTTTGTACTGTAAAAATCCTGTTTAACCAGTTGGCTGCGCGCGTTACGCTTCCCTACCCGCTTTGTCTATCCCGCTGTATGAGTAATGAACAGATCAGAAACACTTGGCAGAAAATTAAGCAGTTGGATAACAAATAATTTATTAGACGTTTTGGTATGTAGTATTGCTTGGTATTTTTCTCGTTGTTTGTATTTTGACTCGCCTTGCAAGCCCGTTAAAATACGGCACAACTCGTAAAAATACTCAGCGATACAACACACCAAAACTTCTAACAAGATATATTAGCTTTAATCCTCATCCCTTAGTAGGATGAGAGGGGTTACTTTCCAAACATGCACTTTTGGGCGGGTTTACCTAATGCATGCGGCTATGGCTTCTTTAATGTGACTCATACGTTTTTCAAGAGGCAGTCGAAAATTAATTCAATTTTCTACTTTAAGTAAAATTACAGTATGGAGGATGCAGAATGCTTTTTCCGTTTTAGTACATGAGGTACCTTCTTTGCCAGTGGTTCAATTTCAGAAACAAAGACTTAACCATTTTGTCAATTGTTGAAGTGTTGCAGAGGAAATCGTACCATCGTCCCCAGCCAGGTAGCTGGTAAAGGGAAGGGGAATGGGGGTGGGGAAGAGGGAGCACCAGTGTGTCAGATATGTTTATGAGCTGATTCAAAAGGTGTAAATGATCTTTTCCCATACCGTTATAGTGCCACAGTGGCTCCCAAGGGCGCACTTTTTCTTCCCTATCTCTTTCTCCCTCTAAGGTTCAGCGAAAGGACCTGTTTTAAGTCGCTCTCGGGTCACTGCATATGCTTTGTTGTTCAAAGTCAAAATATTCATCTGTCACAATACTCAAGAGTATCTGGTACCAAAAATTCTCCGAAGGAAGCTTGACAAAATGCAGGAAGATAATCCGTCATAGACTTTCACGTCATGCCCGTCTTTTTACGCTAAAGAAAGCAGTAAGAGAGTTGTCAGTGTAGGGTAAGTACGGTCCGTAAGCGCAAGGCTTTGCTTTTTGTGAACACACCTATCAAGCCAAAACCGCTTCTTGAACACAGGCCAGCCGGAGCTGTACAAGTCAAAAAGTCCTACAACATACAATTTCTCCATGCACGATCCTGATGATAAATCTGGAAAGATTGCAAGACTGAATATTTTGCCAGTGAATTTTTTATCCTTCGCCAGTAATATCGTTGGCAATGAAAGGTAGTAAGGCTGAGCCCCCACGGCAAAGTTTCGCTTGGAGAGGCGGAGCGCCAGCCCCTGTTCCCCTCTGCTTCGCTGCCTAATTCAGACGGTTATTGTGGAGAAAGAAGTATACCTGTAATCGATTCGACTCATAACAAGGAACAAGGGAACCGAGAGATACCTTTAAAAAGGGAGAAGGGGACGTTTTCCCATTCATTTCGTAAGCTGGAACACTTTCTCAGTGACCTGTAATTTTTCTTTTGCCATCGTAAAATGTCTTCATATAAAATATGGCTTGTCAGAAGATCTAGCGAATTCTTAATGGCGTCTTTTTTTTTTTTTTTTTATCCTGCCAGACTAGCCACTGCTGAAGTCCTATTTGCCTGTTGTCTGTCTTTATCTTGCCGTCCCTGCATCCCACCTTTCATTACGGAGGAGGTGTAAAAACACCCTCATTCACTGAACCTCCTTCGCTTAGATCCCTTGGTATCAGTGCGGTTGAGCTAGCCCACATAAGATCTGCTTTAGAACGCTCTCATGAAAGATCTCACGCTTGGAAGATTATTTTTTCAAGTGCAAATGTAAGATGCACAAAAACAATGCAAGCAGGACAATGTCAGTTTAATTTTATATGCTAAGTAAACAAAGAGGACGAAATTCAATTATGACCATCCCAACTCACTCGACATGCTTCGTTGACTTGGGATGAGTATACAAACCATGAAAACTTTGGCTGAAATGGTCTGGAAAGCTGTCTGATTAACCCTTACCTGCTCACTTTGCCTCTCTGCAGTCACACTACGTGCAGAATGCGAAAACGTTTTGAGATTCTTTAGAAGGCATGCAGTTTGATTGACGCACATACCAATTTAATGTGTTTAATGGTGGGATTTTATTTCCATTCGGTGTCCAATTACATGTTTGGTGTGTCAGTTGGTTGGGTTATATTGTCTCCGGGATCAGCCAATCACCGCCCGCGGGAGGAATTTGGCTCTCATGGTTCTGCGCATGTCCTGTAGACTAACTCACAAATTCTAGGTAATGTTCATGCACGTTGGCTGCTTGGTTGGGCTGTTTTCAAGAATTCGTTGCCCTATTGTAACCCAAATTCCTCCATACAAACTCGTCAAACTGAACTCGGAAAGTCTGCAGAGTATACTTGAGGTATTTTTGCGGGGACTAATGACATAACTGGCATCTAGAAGCTGTTTCTTCGCCAAACAACTATCGCAGGAAGTTGAGCTATCGCTTGCAAGGGTTCTCTTGTCATAGTAATGGCGGACGTGTCGGACGAAAGTTATACCGCTGAAACTCACAGGTCTAAATACAAAAAGGATAGAACTGAACGACGAGAGCGAAGGGGTAATCGTCATGGTGATATCATAGATGGAAGTGCATCACCTTCGAAGGAAAACAAGAGTCCAGGCCTGGAAGACAACGGGGTTGCGAATGACTTCGCTAATAGTAGTGCCGATCGAGACTCGGGGAGACGAGATAGGGATAGACGAGAAAGGCGGAAACCCAGAGATGAAGAAGCGAATGTCAGTGTGAACGACGAGACGCTTGTTGAAGGTGCAACAGCAGCCAGTGAGGAAACAACACCGAAGAAGAGCCTAAAAAAAGACAGAAAGAGCGAAAGTGCAGGGCATAAGAGACAAGCCAAGAGACATCTGAGGGAAAAAAGGAGATCAACCGGAGTTGTTATGATGCCTGGTGGTGGCGATGCAGATGTGAGTATCAACCGAATTTCATGTTTCTTTTACTCTTGCTAACCATTTCTGGGTTTTAAGGTCCAAAAGAACACCTAAATCGAGTAGTTCTCGTGGTGTGGGGTTTCGGCATAGCGAACAATAAACCCAAGAGCTAGGTTTTCATTTATACCGACTTTTGCAGTTATATTTCTTTTGTTGGTGGTGAAATCATGTACGGTTAAAACCGCTTTAGTCTTTTCGGATGCCCGATGTCTGGCAGGAGGATAAAAGCGCAATAAAACTCTCATACTTTGGAGTTTATGGCTACTGCAAATTGGCATTCTTGTACTGCGAATGTGATAAAAAATGTATAATAGTATTTGCGATTCGCCATCGGCAAATCAAAACAATAAATTAAAATCAATCCAGCTCTAGTGCTTTTTCAAGAAAAGTGGAAATTAATAAGCGCAAGGTAATATAACAGATGTGTAGGTCAATTTCGCCTTCATTTTGTTCATTACCATCGTTACAGAAAAGAACTCAAGTGGTGAATTTCTAGACAGGTTTCATCGATGGCAGATTGGGAACAGTACTTTTTTGGGAACTGTAGACTTGACGCGAAATTCGTTGTTTTTCCTGTTTTGTCTATTAAAGCAGGAATTTTTTAAAAATGTACAAGCTCTTAGTATGATTTGTTAATTTTCCAATGCGAAAGCGAAGTTAAATGTTGTAAATGATATTACTTATTTTTAGTGAACGGATCTCTTATGTGTTTTGCATAAGAATATGCCCCTTACATCAGGCTTTGATTAAAATGTAATTGCCATGAAAAAGTCAGCGATTGCAACTGGACTTTAGTCGTTTTATAGAAATGATGAATGTCTCATGGTGAGATTCATCACTCTGTCTGAGCTCGATTTTCGCTTGTTAGCACACGTTGGATGCTACTCTGTTAAATACGTTACCGAGAATGGTGTCGAACGTTTCATCGCAATTATACTTTTTCTGTAGCCGATTATTGTGGATAAATTACAGTATGTCAGAAAATTTGTCTCGCTTCCTCTCTCTTTATTTAACTCAATGAGATTAGTATATTGATCTCATAGATGTCCAGTTTCGATACAACTTGCAAAGCGTTCAAATGTAATACTGTTTATGGACTTCCTTCGCATGTATTTAGCTGCGCCTCTGTCCGACTAACTTGCTGTAGTCTTAATATATTTTATGTGTACTTTCAGAGTGAAGGCGACGATGATACGAAGCAAGTAAAAGCAAATACACAACAGAACGAGCAAGCGAACGACGATGAAGCAATAGAGGTAAGCTTATGCTCGTTTGTTCTGCTCTAACGAAGAACAACTTATACGTTGTGGTGAAAATCCGTTTCTATTTTTATGCCGTGTTTCAGACATGGTGGCATATACTGTCATGTGTATCTTTGGGGTTTTCAAGTACTTGCCTTGTTTATACAGAAAAGTTGGGTTAAAAAGCTAGGAATGTTACTTTAAATCCTCCTGTCAAATCTGTGTAAACTTCACGGGGATCAAATTTTGATATGTCTGCAGTGAAATGCTTAGTATATCTATATCTGGATATTTTAAAGACCCTTGAAACTCTCTTTTGATGATGAGGCTGCTTTTCACAAGAGTTATTTTAGACAACAAAGGCTTGTTTTACAGTATTTTAAAATGTTCACATTCGAGGATATTGGGTTAAATAAATTATTTGTAACCACCACCACGGAGCTTCTTGCATGTAAAATGATTCTAATAGTCAATTACATAGTATGCAGAGGTTGAATTGCATCTGCTGGAAACTTGATAGCAACCAAGTGAGAGGGAAAGATAACAAGGTTATTTTGCTGTTGCTTTTGTGAATTTTAAGAGACAGGTATAATGAAATATCATATCTCATACTAATGAGAGCCGTCAGTTGGTTCTTTGCCCTTAAGCATCAATGGTGAGGTTTTGGTGATATCTGTGTCACATATGCCTGGCTTCAGTGGACTGTAGGCTTTCTTTAAGCTCAGGAAGTTTCGTTGTTTTGTAGCAAAGATGAAATGGTAATCTTAGGATTTTGTTGGGCTTTTATCATCCATTTTCTTTATTATGAACTTTATCTGTTTTTCCTTTGATGATGTTATAGATTTGTTTTTAGGCTTTAACATGTATGCAAAGGTGAACTGTTGCTCACTCTATATTTTGTTACTTGCTAAGACTACTGTGGCTACTCTCTTTTGGAGATGTTTCTTGTGTTTGTTTGCTTTGTGATAAATGTTGTGCCTTTTTCCTTGAACAACTGCAAATCTGTTATTTAAATCATCTAGTTGGTGTCTCACCAACTCCAAAAGTTTTAGAAAATTTACACTACATTTCTCACTACATTTCACCTTTGCATACATGTTAAAGCCTAAAAACAAATCTATAACAACATCAAAGGAAAAACAGATAAAGTTCATAATAAAGAAAATGGTCTCCAAGATGATTTATATCCTTATTTGGAAAACCACAACAATAATCATTAGATTATATGTGTAATATTTGTCCCAGTTTAAGCAGTTTCAGTGCAGTGGATGCATGGATCACATATTTTAGAAGCACTTCCATTCTTAGATGAAAAAATTACATACATAGCCCAAAGTCTTGTAGTATTTCGTGAGAAGAAATTCCATGATACTTAAGTGGGTGCATCAAAAGAAAGCATAAAATTCAAGTCAATAATATATTTAAGATTATTTAAGCAGATCAAGGTACTGGCAAAGGAGTTATTTGTAGACTAAACAACAATAGGTCATAAAAATCAACATCTAAAACCAAAATGTAATCACTTGAAAGCTGCCAGACTGGATAAATGGAAAGCTTGGGCTTCTCTCTGTTGTTCTGTTGTTCTGCTGTTACATTCTATTCAACTTTTCAAGCCAATAGGTTGTTATTGTAAATGCAGAATTGTGATACATGTAGTACTTAGTACATATCTTTCATCGGCATAAAACAGAGCTTGTTATTTTCTTTTCTTTCCAGAAAGGTACTTATATACCCACTCTGTTTTTTGGAATTTCAGTTGAAAAATTGTCTAGTGTCATCTAAAATTTTTATCTAGTATTGCACAGAGAAAGGGTGGATTCAACCAGTCTCTGTTATCTATCATCCAATTTTATTCAGTTCCTTGTAAATCACAAACAAGGGATGGTTTGCCTGTTGTAAAACAGAGGCTTGTCTATTTTGAGTAATGTGCCATATAAGAAAGCATACTAAAGCAAATAAAATAGCTTTTTGTGAAACAAAATATTGTAGAAGATTTTCAGGAAAAGCAGGTTTATTATAACATATGAACTAGCTACAGTAGGTGCAGTTCATGAGAAGTATTTAAATCAATTTGTTGAGGTATGCAGTTGACCAGTCTGGTTGGATTGAATGGTATATATATTTGGATGAAGATTGTTGCATTATCCAGCAATGGAGTTGCATTTGTCTAATATGCCTTTTGAAAATCTGTGTTAGTTTTCAGGAATTCTGCACTTGGCTATGTTATTTGGGTTACTAAACTCAGTTGAATGTAAAAAGTCTGATTAGGTTGGAACAATATCCTAATGAAAATATTGATGATATTGCATTACTCACCAATTTCACTAATGAGTCTTTTTTATTCCCATTCCAGGATTCTCCCAAAAGTAAAGGGTAAGCTAAATTGTGTTACTATTTGCATCTCTCAAACTTGGCATCAGTTTTTGAAGGTGAAGTGTATCTGAAGCTGGTCATTTTCTTTTCAAAGGAGTAGTGTATATTAGCTTTCTGCTTTTGTAGATTCTGGTACCAAATTAAATACACATTTGCATAAGTGTGGGGCATTCAGTGGTAGAAAAACTACTCATGATTTGATCACAATGCTGGATGGTGCTATAGCAGTGTAACAGAGACAGTCTTAGTTGTCAGTATTTTGTTGTGCTTGGCATTTTACAATAAGTCAAATTAACAACAATTTAACTCTACTTCATCATGTAAAACTTTTTTCATTGAAATTACACATGAAAAAAAAACATGTTAACCCACTAGTATTATAGATTGTAACTTGAACTATTTCTTTTTTAGATCAAACAAAAGAATAGAGCAAAAAGTGGTAAGTATAGATTTATACATGTCTCTGTGAAAGCTCAAAATGGTAATCACGTGTTACAATTCTAAGTCAGCTACTGTAGTGATATGATTTAGCAGCCTTGTTCCAGTAAGCACCCCCTGTATGCTGAATGATAATGGGGCCCCTATTCTAGTAAGAACGGCTACTGAGGAAGCACACTCAGTGGTTTTCATCTCAATCTGTTATCTACGGTGTCCTCATTAATGGCACAGTTCAAAATTTCAACGCCTTGGCGGTTTGTTCTAGCCAGGAAGGATTGAGGGGCAAGAAGCTTGTTTTTCAGTCTTCTTGATCCTTGTCAAGTAAACATTAAAAACTTTGGTCCACACCTTCTGGTGTTTCTCAAAAAGGAAATAAGCACCCTGTCCCTGATAAGCAGTTGGATTTGATTAATCAGCCTGTTTTGGAATAAGCACCCTCCCTTGAGGTTTCATTAGTAAATAAACACCCCAGGCACTAATCTGAATCACAACAATATTTTAAAACAGTAATATATCTGCAACTACAGGCAGAGTCAGAAGTAGTAATCTTGAAATTAGCAGAGGGTATTTCTACCGTGTAGATGTTGTCTGCTTCTCCATTTACAGTGAAAATTTCAAACCTGTTAATAAATGATTGTAGAAATACAAATGTGGGTGAAGAATGCCTAATAATCCTTATGTTCTGCAGGTTTTGTAATTTTCAATCAAATACTATGTTGTAAGTGATTCAGGATTTCTTTTACCTGTAGCAAAAAGATAGTGAGACCATTCAAACGCAAAAACTGCTTGAAAAGATAGAGGATTATGAACATCAGTTAGATGACTGCAAATCTGAACTTGATAAAGTAAACAAGGTAAGAAGTTCTTTAGACTTGACATCATGAGAACCACAGTAGATGTATCCAAGGGTAACCTTTCATCTTTCAAGTTTTATGAAGAAGAGTGCAGGATACATCTCTTTTCTTCTGGAAGTACAATTTTTGGAGAATTTAGCTTGTCTCTTTGCCATGTCATTGTTCTGTCTATTTGTGAGGCGGTAAAGATGACACCTCTCATAAAAGGTGCTGAGATATGTCACTTTGCTTCTCTAGCGAGGATCGTTGTTCTTGGTATAAGCAAACTCTGCCCTTCTCCCCCATTCAAGTAATTAGTCCCTATTGCACAACCAAGTTGAATGAAAAGAAAATGTACAGCAAATGTATCTTCCCAACAAGAAAAGTTACTCGCTCTAAGGCCCATGTTTAGGTACTGTATGCAGGAAAGTTTCAATTATACCTATTTCTCTTTTTCATCAGGAGCTGGAATCCCTAAGGGCAGAGAATGCTCGCTTGAAGGATGAAAACAGCTCTTTATTACGAGTTATAAGTCAAATATCGGCAATGAAACCAGTGAAGTAGGCTTCAAACTGCTGCAATCTTCATTTATTTGGCTGCAGTAGAATTATTTTTTTGTTAAACTGATTTAGTCAAATGGATGGTAGCCATTCCACAATAACACATTTTCCACATGGAGGAATGGAATTCTTCTCGGAGTAAAGCATAATGCCATTGTTGAGTTGTCACTCTTGATGATTGCTTATCACCAAAGGATGCACAAGTTTGACCCAATGGATAATGTCATTCTTTGGTTTGTATAGCTTAAAAAGTTAGAGGCTGTTTTTATGAAGTATTTAGCAAAGTTTAGTTTGGCTTGGAACTTTCTGTTGTAGGACAAGGTTAAATAGAACATTTAACAGGGTAATGAGAGGCTAAATGTGTATGGGCTTTTGTAGTTCTTGACTGAGACTTAACATTTTTGTTGCCGAGAAGTTGTTCTTTTTGTAGATAGTAAAAATGTGCTTAGTATTGCAGTGGATATACTTTGAAAAAGAATACCTTACTAAGATTGGGCGACTGAATAAGTTTTATTTTTCCTTTTTGTCACACAGTACATTGCCTGTGAAAGTATTAAATTTCATTTTATTGTGTAAGGAGTTGTGTTTCTTTAGTAAACCATACTCTTTCACACAAAATATGGTTATTATTGTTCATTTTCAAGTCTATCCACTGTAAATATGTCTGGCGAAGGTGATGTTTGAAAAGAGTTTAAACGATTACAAGGACGAAGCAAAATTCAAGTCCAGATCCACTCAATCTTCAGGGCAACAAGAGCCAATCAAATTCCAGTCCTGTATCACTAGTACTATCTCTCTTACGATATGCAAAGAACTGACTGCTAGCCAGCTTGAAAATCTTGCAGTTATGGTACACTGGTCTGTTACATAAGTTACACTGTACTTCTTACAATGGACTATGTAACGGATACAGAGATAACCACACCATTGAAGCGCCTAGCCAGAGGGAATACTTTAATTTTCCCCCCTCCCCCCCCCCCAAAAAAAAATGACAGTAGGTGTTGAGCTGTCAGTCAATAACATATCTGTTTTAACATATGTACTTATCACATGTCACGCGCGATGGCAATCTTGGTAGTGTGAAGTACTTGTAATGTGACGGGAAGTTAATTGATTGGCTTTCTTTTATGACGAGGGAAACTGGATTTTGCAAGCTTAACAAGGTAAATTAGTGAACTTGTGATATCTAAAAAATACAAGTAAAGTACTGAATTCATTCTGCTGTAACCATACTTAGTAACACCGGCATACACCCAGTGCTATTTCTTGTACCAAGTTGTTATCCTGGGAGAAAGGAAAAAAAAATCCTATGTATACATACACAGTATTAAGAGGGTCATTCCTTTGAGTGATTCCTCCTTGAGGGATTTGATTTCAAACAACCGTAGACTTATTTTTTTTTTTTAATTTGAGAACTTTCCTCTTTAAGAATTAGTACGGTTGGTAAGCTTGTTCTGAATGAAGACGTTGTTCTTTCTGCTAAGCAATTGTGACACCTAAAATAGTGTTATCGGTTGGTTTAGAGTTAAAAAAAGCGAGGGTTTTAATTGTGTAGACAAGTCTTGCAGAAGCTATGCAGATTGTGTTTGCGTGTTAGACCGAACAATTACTTCTGTGATTGTTGCCCAGCTTTGAGACGTCCCTTGCAGTTCAACCTTTGAGGATGAGGCTCTTTGAACAGTTAGGTTTTTCCTTTAACTCATTCAAGAATACACTAAAGAAAATTTGAAAATAAAAAAAGAAAGAAAAAAACTTTTGAATAGCCTCGGGAAAATAAAATGTTGGCATTATTTTGTATACAGTTTCTGCTATTATCACTTGTAAAAAACGAATAGGTTTATTGCTTGTTGCAAGCGTATTTCTTGAAGGAGAATGTGCACTCGCTATTGAGTGGTAGGTGGAGTCAGTGGCATGCTTTCTTAAAGGCTGACTAGGATTTCTGGGTAGCATTTTGCCAATGGCTTCAGATAATTCACTGGTTGACTGGAAAGTCTAATTATGAGGAATTTGTCCAAATCGTGTAAATTTTATGAGGATTTTTTTATTCTTTGACGAGGTTTCTATCGAAAGTAACCGTGGTTTAGAACAGAATTAACAACCGGTGCAATCGTGTCTAACGGAAAACAGCGTTTATGTTGGAAAGGCGTATGCGAGTGGAATCACAAGCTTACCTCGCCCAGTATTTTCTCTCGCTAGATGTACTGTTTGGAACACTTTCCTTGTCAATTTGCCTAAGTTACAATCTGTTAGCTCAAACACTTAAATGTGTTATCCTAACGTTATATTTTTGTATTATTTTAGTAACTATATTTTCAGTGATTAATAAACAAAGAAAACACACTGTATAGCTCGTTATTTATATTAAACGTTAAAACTCAAGCAGTGGGGTTAGGAAGGTACAATGCCTTAAACGCGCAGCGAAGCGGGGATGGCGGAGGGAGGGAGGGGTGAAGGACTGGTTGGTTAAACACTGCAATTTAGTCAAAGATGAACGTAGGAACGGAAGAGAGCGTATGTGTCATAAAGACAAATGATTGAAGCATTCACTACCGTTAGGTCCCAACCTGTTGTGGTGGCGTTAAGGATATATTTTCAATAACTTTTATTAATGCGGAGTAAGTGATCTGTTACCAGTTTGAAGCTCGTCCATGTAGGGGAACTGAGGATCTTTAATGTCTTCACTCGGCGTGCAATAGAGAACTATGCCCACCGTGCAGTGCACATTCTAAGCAATTAGTGGATCTATTGACGACATACGTGGAAAAATTGCAGTTATTTTTCTATAAATATCACCAGCTTTTTATAGCCATTTAGTTCATGGCAGATGTCAACTAATTTTAGTTGCGACAAATTGGCTTAAACAGGCTTCATTGGAATTTCTAAATGCACTTAGTTCTTTGCTTAATGTTCAAACTATTTTCTATACTGAGCGCGGCATAATACCTTGACTCCCACACCGCTCAGGAAATCTGAATGACGTGAGGTGATCTTAGGCTGTTACGACGCTAGTTCCCAACGTTTCCCTTTTGCTATTGATGGACTATTATTTTTTTATCCAGTTAACTTTTTCTTAATGTCACGTATACATGCGGCGTATGAAATCAGTAGTAAGAGCATAACACTGTACTAAGGTCAACAGGTTTGTTTTATGGGAGTAGCGGATTTAACAGGCTCTCCAATAACAAAATTCTCCGCTTTTCAAAGCCCTTCATGTGGTTTGCTGGGATTTTTGACAAAATAGCTATCAGAACGTGAATTTCGGCCTTGATAGTGGTATAGAAGCCTGATCAGTGCGGTTTGATGACTTTTTTTTTTCCTAGTAAACTTCGTTTCATAAAATAGTGAACAGGAAAATAAACAATCGATCACAACTGACTACCCTTTTGTAGATCATTGCGTTTAGACAACGTCACGGTAATTCCGAGAGAATCCTTAAGTTTCTTTTGGGGCATCATTATACCTGGTTAAATCTCGTAGGGAACTTGTGTATCTCGGCCGAGGGAAGTTGAAGGCACGAAAAGTCTTATCAAGCTATTCCTTGACAAGTTTGATATCTCACTTAAAACGCCATTTTCCAAACGCTGATTTGGTTTTGAGTACTCTTCTACCCCAAGCTCATGTACTGAAGTATTTTGGATGGAAGGACAACTAGTTGACCGATTCAGATAGACCTAGACTTTCAATTGACAATGTAGACGATGTTTTACTGCTGTTTTGTGAGGGTGAAAGACGGTGGTTTTCTTGAGGAAATTCCAAGTCATCTAAAATCAGTTCAGTCAACAGAACTTCGTTGAAGTTTAATATCAAAGTGTGTCTGCTCGTCTTGGACTTCTCTTTTTCTCGTTTTTCCAATTGAAAAGAGAATTTCCAAATTTCTGTTTCTTCTTCTCTATTTGTGGATTGGTGTTTTTGCGCTTTTCCTTCTCCTGTCGCAAATATTTCTTGTGAAGAGCCACCCTTCGGAAGACAACGTTCAATGCCTCCTGAACATTATCGTAATTTTCTGCAGCGGAAACTTCGAAGAACATACATCCGAGCTGTTCGGCAGCCGATTGGCCCTCCTTTGTGGTTACTGAAAAACATATATAAATTAAGGATGAGGGGCAAGTCAACGTTTGGGTCAGGCAATATTTTGTGGTAATCTTTTGAAGGCACAATGGGTCAGAATTTCAAAAATTCATTTCCGGACGTTCAGAAAACCCACTAAGAGTTAATGATCGATAGTTCTCATTTTTTTGCTGCGAGCCTTAAGTACTTTCTGTATCATTGTATTTATTTGAATGCCGTTTAACATTTGTCTACCGTTTCCACTGCTAGGGTCATCTCAAAAGTTTCGTGACTTTCTAAGTTTCACTGATCATCACGAAATAGTTTCGGTCATGGATGACAGATTTTTTTAGGTTTCAATCTTCGCACTCGACCGGTTTTTCGTCTGAGGAGATTGTAAAGACATCTGCTCTCTTACCTTTTCTAAAATGCTCTAGATCTATCTTGTTTCCCACCAGAGCGACATGCAATTCGTCTGTACCTTTGCCGTCGTAGATTGCTTCAACCAGTTGTATGGCATTGTTAAAGCTGTTTTTGTCTGTGATAGAATACACCACGAGAAAAGCGTCCGCCCATTTGATGTCTTTATCAACTTGAGATGTATCGCTCTGTGGTGGAGGGAACAAGAGCTCAGTGGAAATGAGAAAAAAAAAATTCTATAGAGGCCTATACAAGAATCAACCAAATGGACCACACCGTCTGAGGTTATTGCGGCTCTCACAGCATGAAGCAATGAGAGAATTGCTTCACCCCCTGGATGGGATGCTCATCATCACGGGTTACCTCCACGTGCTATGGAAACATGGCACGTGAAAGTAATACCTTGTTATTCAAGTACCCGTCTGTAAATTCTTGGTATATAGTCTCTTCTATTTTGACCAAAATGTTTGTGCAGAATTGTCTTGCAGTTTATACTGATTGCAGACTGAATTCACGCACATTTGTGGCATAGATTCATTATAACAATATAACGTGGTATCATTTGACTTTGAAATAGTTTGTCAGCAATTCTAGAATATTTGAGTTGACTACACAAAACACCATAAGCGTTCGTCTTGAATCCACTTAATTTTGACAGAGTTTGCGGTTGTTTATATTTAATACGGCGTTGTTGTACAAAGAAGATTTAATTTCGCGAGTAGAGTTCCCAGCATCCCTAGAGTTTTGTCTGGAAATCTTTTTCTTGTTTTCGTTGTGGAGCAGTATTGTCCAATTTACGAAGATATTTTACACGATCATATTCGAACATAATCTTTTTTCTCGTGTTTTCCTCCTATATATTTTCCTCTTCAAGTCCAATAAAGCCACCGCTGATATTTAGTGGATAATACGGTTTTTCCGGGGAACACGCCTTTTTGACCTTTACTGTCAAAAACTGCTATAATCGTCACAAGGTCAAGAAGAAGAATTTTGCTTAAGGATTTATTTCTTTAGAAAGGTTAATTCAGTGGCTTCCCAGGATATTTTGTGGACGAAATGTCAAATGCGGCAGTCTATGAATTTTTAACGTCACGCATGCACATAACCTTTTTTTTTTCCTAAGTCTTACTGAATTATAAAAACTACTATGTCTGAAAATGAGTTTCGACTTGCAATAAGTCAGCATATTTCGAGTCAATGTTATTTCGATCACTCCGGTCGCAAAAATCGAAATATGCGTTGAACATCAAATTCGTGTCAATGATTATTCACTTTTTTACCAAATTTTATTTGCATATTTCAAAACGCAAAATCTCCGCGGTTGACGTATTTGTAATTGTGATGCCTTTTTTTTTTCCTGACTTCCGTTGGCAGAACATCTTCATCCCATTATCGAGGTGTATGATTGGTTTTTTTAACTTACAAGCTAAACGGACGCTTTTTTAGCGAATTTATTTTCATCAGAAAGCTCTGTGAAAGCAATGCTCATATCCAAATATGGATAGTGACACCTGCCACGTGTCTCAGAAAGGCCATGACGTTTTAAAATGGTTTTCTCAACGTGATATTTATTTTTAAAAATTGGAAGTCTCTGGACGACATTTGGATCACGAGAAAATTTTTCTCAGCGACTTAAGCGAAGGTCGTAGGAGGACTCTGCGTCATAATTTTTTTTTTCTCTGAATTTCACCGTTTCAGTCAAAGTGATTACCAGAATCGAAAGTGTATGTTCCAAACACATGTAAAACCATTAAACAAAATAATGGATTTGAAAGAAACAGACAGAAATCTCCGCCAGCCACGAATTAACTACGAAGAAAATCTTTACAAGAGAATGGACGACTTTCGTCGACAGGATATATTGTGCGATACAATTCTTCAAGTGGACGGACAAGAATTCCCAGCGCACAAAAACGTCTTGGCGGCAGGTAGCGAGTATTTCCTCGGCTTGTTTACATCCGACATGAGAGAAAAACATCAAGATGAGGTCAAACTCGAAGGATTTCAAGCCTTTATAATGAATGATTTGCTCCATTACATATATACGGGAGAAGTTGAGATAACTGATGAGAATGTCAAAGAACTGGTTTTCGCTGCGGATTACCTGTTAATCACAAGCTTGAAAGTTAAAGGGAGTGAATACCTAGAAGGGATTTTAAATCCTTCAAATTGCCTGTCAATGAGAGCGTTTTCAGAGAAATTTGATTGTGAAGAACTCATAGACAAGTCTGAGAACTTTATTCTTGAGAACTTCGTGGCTGTTTCGAAATCAGAGGAATTCCTGCATCTTCGTCTCTGCGAAACTGAGAAACTCATTTCCTTAGACGATATCATTGTCGAGACAGAGGAGCAGGTGTACGAAGCGGTCATTTCGTGGGTCAAACACGACGAGGATAAAAGGAGAGAGGATTTCCCGCGGTTGCTTTCTAAGGTTCGCTTGGGTTGCATGTCAAAATATTACATAGCAGAATACGTTGAAACGGAAGAACTGGTAACCAACAACCTCGAATGCACAAAGCTTCTTTACGAAGCTATGAAGTCATATGCGTTACACGGACCTCAAGGACACCCAATCAGGGATATCTGCAAGATACGGAAATGTTTGAATTTCAATGTAGACGCCATCATTACCATCTGGGGACCTGGAGACGAACTGCGTTCCTCGACTCAGTGTTACGTGCCATCTGTCAATCAGTGGTACAATTTGGCGCCAATGTTAATCCCGCGCTTCAGTCACGGTGCTGTGGCGTGCGAGGGGTTTATTTACACAGTGGGAGGAGTCTCCCTTAATGGACATCTGTCAAGCATGGAGAGATATGACTACAGGTAGGTTGTTTTCAAGTATTTAATTGTTATTTGCTTACAGTGGGAGTGACGCAGTGGCCTTTTGGTCAACGCAAATGACTCCAGGAGGTCTAGATGCGAACCATGACCGCATCAATCCAGCAAACTGTTTTAGAACGGCCTAAGAAGATGTCAGGGGGTGGGGGAGGTAAGAGTTACCAACATTAAGAAGCTAAGCTCCTCGTTATAAAACAACTTTGATGTTTCTTTGCTTGTGAATTTCACAGAACAAACACTTGGGCAGGAGTAGCACCAATGGCTAAGGAAATCTCTGCCCTTGGTGTGGCCGAACTTAATGGATATTTATATGCAGTGGGTGGCTGGCACAGAGGAAGACCGCTTAACTCCGTTTTGAGGTAATCGAAAACGTCCTGATTTATCATAAGAATATTGATTATTGTTGGCCAGGTGATGTGTAAAGAATATTGTGTTCCTTTAAAAGACTGAGGTAAAAACATGGGACTTATTTTTTTTGTAGGTATTACCCGAACTCAAATATCTGGGAAGCGGTCGCCCCCATGACATCAAACAGAGGTGGTCCATGTGTCGTATCAGATAAATACCTTTACGCCATCGGTGGAAAAACAGAAAACAACAATGCTAATGACCCGTTCAAGTATCTGAGCACGGTTGAAAAATATGATCCCAGAACAAACACCTGGACCATGACTACGCCAATGCAGGCCCGTAGAGCATACGCATGCGGAGTGGCTGTCGGAAGAAATCTTTACATAGTAGGAGGAACACAAGATGATTTGTACTCGTCACACAGCTCTTGTGAGGCTTTTGACATAGAGAATAACACCTGGACATACATAGCTAATCTGTGTATATCAAGAGCGTTAGCAGGGATAGCTTTTGTAGGAAATCATATCTATGTCCTCGGAGGAAAGAAAAATTCCCGTGAAAGAACGGACAAAGTAGAGTTTTATGATATCGATCTTGACGAGTGGAAGGTTGTGGGGTCGGTACCTAACTGTATGGGGGGAATACAATGCTCAGCTGTTTCCCTTTCCACCCAATTTCTCAACTCTCTGACGAAGATTACATGAGATTTATTTTTGTCTTTCTGTATACCTCTGACAATAACAGGCTATCTTTTAACGTGACAACCTCTCAACTTCTCTCTAATTATCGAACTGCTTTTTGAGATTATAACCCTTTTTTCATAGGTGCTGCAAGAGCGTTCTGCTAAACAATCGCATGGCTCTCGTGAGAGCAAAATTCTCTGATGCGTAATCACGTAATTGTACTTTAGACTTAGATACACGACCCCATAAGCACTAGCTTTAACTATCATCATGCCGAAATAAAGTGGATGTGTGTATGTATGCATAAGGAGGCATGGACATAACCTTGAATGAGGACTGATGACTTAGCTATTTACGCTCGTCGTCATTTTCAACTTAGAGCCGTAACCGTTTTAATGAAAAACCCAATCATTTTGGAACAACGATTTTTCGAAACTTGAAAACATAAAAAAGAATGATGGTTCTTTTTGTACGGGGCCTGAAATATAAATATCACAGGGTGGTCTTAAACTACGTGAATGCCGGCATGTATAGAAGAAATTAGGTATTATTGGCAAAGCTATGAAATCTCTATATAAGAGTATTTATGTACATAAGCATGAAATGAGTCCAAATAACCAGTCATAGAGTAAAATTCGATGATTTACCTTTTATAGCGAGGCATATGAGACGAACACTAAGATTTACTGATTATTAAGAGCGTCCTAATAGATGTATAGTTTAAAAAAGCGACATAGGAACAACTATGTTTTGAAGTACCCACAAATTAAATGAGAAACTGTTAGCGTCACCTAATAAAAAATGATGATTAAATTCAGTCTTTTGTTAGAAGTAAGCCCACTTTAAATCAAAGCATCACCCACGCTTGATTGATGATTAGTAAACAAGAGCAGTTTTAAAACTTAACGAAGCCGTCAGATAAACCTGCAGAATACATGCATACCTTTTCTATGGCATCACGAAGCTCAAATGTCAGAACTTCATCGCCCAGCTTGATTTTATGACTGTAGGTTAGTTCTGAAATAAAGAATTAGAGAACAAATGTTTGTTGCAAAAGACTTGAAAAGAATGCGAACAATTATACAAGGGTAAAATTTTCACAGTATGAATTATCATAAACTGACTTGTACAAAATCCGTTGATGTTTATTTAAGGATACTTTGATCTGTTCTCTGAACTGAGAGCTTATGCTCATGATTTAGGTTTGAGGCTAATGAAAATTCTTTACTTTATTGTGAAAGAAGTTCTGCTTGGTTTTTTGATCAATTCCCGCAGGCAGACGAATAAACGTAAGGGAGTAGTGGCGTCCTTATTTACATTACCATGGAGACGTCTGTACTGAAGCGAACGAAGATCTCATCATTGTGTGGTTTAATCCACTTTAGCAGAGCATTGAATGTTCATTACGCAGCTTAATGCCAGGAAATGAGCAATTATTGAGATAAACCTCTGGCGTTGCTGAGTTGCTAACAACAATGCTATTTCAGTAATGCTGGAAAGTTGAATTCATTCTTTGATTCTCTTTTTCGGTTTCCATTGAGCTCCAGGAATTTGTCTATTCGATCACTTAAACTCAATAGAATATCACAAGTTGCATGTGTTATGTTGTTTAGTAAATACAGAGAGTTGGAATCATTCAACTCATTTCTCAACGCTTGAATATTCAATGAGAGAATTCAAGCAATTAGCCAATTTACCCGACAAACTCCATCTCCGTGTCGACTTGTTACATGTTTCATTCCATGAATTAATCTTAGCCGTGAATTTTGGCCAAAATAGGTAAAAAATGCAGAGCATGAATCGAATTCACTAATGATGTGCGTGTTAGTTGTCTAGTAAATTAACAAACAGTAAACGATATGGTTCAGAGAACAAGTGCATTAACGCACAAGTGAGTCAGTCGGTGGCCAATATAACGTTTAACGGTCGGTTGGCCCAGACAGAGCGACCAAAACGAGTTGTCGCCCTCATTAGTCAGACTAAAAGCTGTCTACGAACATTTTTGAACAAGTCTGTTTATGGATAATGAGGAAGAACAATCTGTGATGTCAATCGAAAATGAACCCTAAGAAGTAGAAATACGAGCCTGTATTAGGCGTTCAGTTAATAAACGAGACGCGATGTTAGCGTAGAGCTCAGACGGAAAGAGATTTAGGAGTTTAAGCACGAACGTTTTGAGGTGCGGACAGCAGCCGTAAGTTGAAAGTTTTCCTTTCTGTTGCTCATGACAGCCTTTTAGTTAGCATATTTTGGTGTAAAATGTTAAAATGACGGCCTTCTAATCGATCCATTGGCGTCAAAACACGCCAGAACTAGTTCCATTTTTTCCCCGGTTGCCGTCCACTGCGTCTCAAACACGTCCCTGCCTAAGTTCACTAAAGTTTGGGTTCGATCGCGACCCATCCCAAACCTCTCCAACCTCCCCTCGCCCCCCCGCCTCCCCCCCTCCATATCGTGTCACAATACCGACTGAACACCTAAAACAGACTGAACAAAATACCCTTGTCATTTTAAAAGTTTAGATTCACCCACATAGACCTGTGTTTGATTTGATCCTCAGTGTGGCCATACAATTTGTAATTTAATTAACCTGCGTGTCACCTAGTGGATTAAAAAGAGCATGGAGCCTAACTAAAGTGATCACTTTAGGAGTGCGTGCGAAAGTTGGGAGGAAATTCTTAGCAAATTTTCTCACATCTCATAAACTAAGGGGTACCATTTCTAAACAGTTCAATTCAAACAGTGAAAAAGAATGTTCATCTATTTGCGTCGCAAAGCAACGACGCATATTGTTAAATTCTTATAATCAATGACTTCTCTACTTACGCATAAGTGACTGATATTCGCCAATGAATCTCTTCGTCAGAAAACGAACTGTTAAAGCTGTTGATAAAAATGATGTAAAATGTTAAGACTATTATAACAGAAATTTTAAAGAAAGTTAAAACTATAGCATCTCTCTTCCCCTTTTGTCCAGGTGGAACTTCTTTTGCTTGAGAGTCGTACAGCTCAAAACCAGACTTATCACATTTACCGCCGCCCAGTTAGCCCAATGGATAGTGCGCTGGACTGTTGTGCGGGAGGTCGAGGGTTCGAGCCCCGGCCGGACCAACACTCAGGGTCTTAAAATAATTGAGAAGAATTTGCTACCTTTCAGTAACATCAAGAAATGGTTAGATAATCTAGTCTTCTCGGATAGGGACGAATAAATGGAGGTCCCTTCTCCTGCAGGGTTAGGGGTAGAAGACGTTAATTTCCCACGCACGAGATTACTGTGTGATGGATGTCCTCCCCTGGGGTGGGATGGTGGGTTTGTATTGTTGTGAAGGCGGTAAGTTAGATAACTCTTTGGGTTAATTACGTCACCTTCGTTAAATAAAGAATATTGTACTGTTGTATTGTTTGACTTTCCAGTCGTTTTAAAAGGGCTCCAACCTATTAATCATCAAACTAAATTTCATTATAAACCTTACATCTGCGAGCGCACTTTGTTTGTTCGATGGTAAACAATTCTATGATTTATCGACATTGCGTATTTGACGCTTGTTTACTTCTCCTCCGCCAAAATTAGAACTTTTTCAGGTGAGGAACGTCCGTTTGTCGCTTAGCAACGAGGGAAATTTCTGCGACATCCAAATCACACGCATGCAGATGTTACTCCTTAACTAAGTTCACGCGGAAACTTGCGATTAGGTTACACTAGTTTGCGAGAATGAAAAACGTCGTAACAAGTGTACAGACTATCGAACCTTAAAATTCCAAGATCTGATTGTTAATTCTTCCCTCTAACTGCTACACATTTCCTTGTAAATTAGTGATAAGAATTTGGTGTTAGATCAAGACAACGACTTCTACTAGATAAGTTTAGATATTCTCATTACCTGTTTGCTCGCTAATGTACGGGTATAACAAGGAGAAGTTTCATGTTAATCACTTCTGGAAGTTAAAGGGTTAAATATGAAATAACTGAGAAAATACGAGCGCTCTGATTGCTCGTATTGCTCAAACCCACCAGAAATGTTTGGAAATCACTCGCCTCCGGCTCGTGCTCGCGATTTACAAACTTTTCTCGTATTTTCCCAACATTCTGCATGGTTTATTACGCCGGTAAAAAGATAAAAAGTGCGTTCTATTGCTTAAAAAACTACTACAAGGTCGGTGAAGTTTGTAATGTTTATTGTCATCGGAAACCAAATTAATTTTCTCTTCTTACTTCATTTCTCTAAAAATTCACCGGCTCGATGAGAGGAAAGAAAGATGCTAGAAAGTGTCAATGATGTTAATTTCAAGCTAACAGCATATGGTAATCTTATCGAATTCCAGTGTGCGACACGTTATGTTTGTGTTCTGGTCAAGAAACCATAGTTGATTTCTCTCGGGGGGTATAGTGGCCCATAAGTGCAAAACACAACACAAACACTGAAAACACAACACACACAAACTGAAAACACAAAACACTCGCTAAAAACCCTACAAACTTATTTGAAACACAATACATTTATCTGAAACACAACACATTGTGTTTTGCAATTATTGGCCACCGTACCCACTATTTTTCCAGAAGAACAGCTATGAAATGTGTGTCATCAGTAATAACAAGGCCAGGAAGATTTAGAATTTATTTGCGAGATGTCCGTCTAATTGATTTACGGAAGATGACGATCGGTGAATTGAATTTACTAACTGAGAGCCGTAGAAAACAGCACGAGTCAAATTTGTTGTCGATTGGCTTCAAACAATATCATTAAATCTAGCAGACAAATAAAGTGATCTTTAAATCGATCAAATCTGCGATCAACAAGTGAAACAACGGTCGTCCTATAAAAGTGCATTTCATTTAAGTCAACTCGTAATATTCTTCCTTAATCCTGACCGCAATCGCTGAACTTATAAGAGAATGACTAACATGACATTCACATGTGCACCGGTTAATGCGATACATAACTATCATTAGATTAAGGGTCGAAACACAAACAGATAAAATCAATAGAAACTCGTTAGCAGTTTCGTAACTGTTTTGTTAACGAATAGTTTCAACAAAGGGTCCTGAAGTATTGTCTAGAGAAGTTCACTTTCAGATAGCTAGTGATTCTATATATGGATAAAAATAAACGGGACTTAATTTTTTTATGCGGAATAAATACCATATAATCTGTACACGTTGAATTAATTTGCGCTTAACAATGGATCAGTTTCAAATGCCGTATGCAGAAGGATATTGAGCGTCAATTGGCTCCAAATGCTATCAGCAAACTTTGCTGGAAAATAAAAAGTCACAAAGCTCAATTCCGCATAGAGTGACCATAGAGGTATTTTTGAAAATAATTGCGCGCGTAACACAGAGAGGTGAAACGATTTAATTTGGCTTGACCAACTCTCTCCCTCGCGGAGTAGCACGGTTGTGTGTAAAGGATTGCGGTTTTATCAATTAACGTGATAACTATTGGCTGCTCTCTTATGGGAAATAAATCTTTTCTGTTCCCTCATACTCATAAAGTGTAACATTAAGCTCCAGATCGTCCAAACAGTCCTCTATCATTGCATCATTTTAACGGATTTCAAAGATAATGCGTTTCTCGTACCTGATTTGCCGACTGCTTTGCTTCCTAAAGTCAAGAATCTTGCCTCAGCCGGTACCAGGGAATTCATCTGTGATTCTCTTGCATGTCCGCAAACGATCTGAAAGTTACTATCGATACTTGTTTTGGCGAAAAGCAACCTTTCACATTCCTCTCTTAGCTCACACTATGTTTCATGCCCGCCAGCTACACATTGAAAGCATTTTTGACAAGCTTATTGTTAGAAATAATACATCTTTGTCAATACTGATAAGTTTACGGCCATTCCCGATGGCAGGGGGCTGATTAAAACAGATTTTTTGTTTCTTGTACCAACAGTGTCTAAGGGATGTACATTCCTTGTAGCACATTTGTTTAGCAATCAAAAGTTAAAATTCGCCGAGTCTCTATGACAGAAAAGTTACTTTTTTCGTAGCGCGCCTGCATAATTCAGGATACTCTTTAATAATAGGTTTTGCTTGTATTTACATTTTAAAGCGATAACATCTTAATTACTGATGATTACCGGTGATTTTAATGGCATTACCAAAAACGAAAAATATCAATAGCCTTTAACATAAGTAGTAAAATGAACTACAAACGAAACCTCCCTTATTTTGATTTGGTAGATGTAATGAACCATATGTTTTAGAAACGTTCTAACCACACGAGAAAATCACAAACATCGAATAGTCTAAGACCAAGTTGTACGTTTACTTTTGATTACTGAAATAGGTTTCTATGAAGTAGAATTCACAACATCGCTGACAGCGCCCGTGGGAAATAGGAAGCGCACCCCGTGTTCTGATTGGCTTTGCGAGTGGGCAAGATAGGCCCATCTCGCCTGCTCGAATCGCCAGCATTGATCCCGCGCACTGATGTAAAATTGAACTAGTACTAAGTTCGTAATTCTTGGACAATGTCAGTGATGGAGACGCAAAAAGCAGCAGAAGATAGTTGAAACAAAGAAAACAGAAACGACTCTCGTGAGTCTATTGTGCTAAAAACACAGTTGGCTTTCTTTCTTGGCTCTCGAAGTAAACAAGTCATTCTTAATTCTTAATAAAGAGAAATTTTTTGCAATGTAATAAATCCTTTATTGACCAAGCTTGTTCGGTCAAGATGGCTGGACATTACCCTCGTAATTTTTTTTTCAAAAAATGCAAAGAAAGGACTGGGCCAATATCCAGCCATCTTGTCCGCACGCTTGGTCAATAAATGCAAATATTTTGTCTTTTCTTGGACCACATGGTCTAATTTGGAGAAAGGCCAAGAGGGTTGTGGTCCACGCTTTTTTCTGATTGTTGTTTTTTTTTCTTTTCACTTTTCTGTGAAGTGTACGTTGATGAGCTGTTTGTATGGAGTCAATGAAGTGTTTGCCTGCCCCTAGGCATATAGGAAATATGGCTGACTTCACGAGCGGGTACAATGGCGCGCATCCTGTGATCTAGCTATTCGAGGAACAAGACAAGCTCTTTCCGATCCCTCAGGATTTCTCCCCTAGTCCCTCGTCGCAAAATTTTAAGTGAGTTTCATTACTGGGATCTTAATCCATTAAATAAATCCTTTACTTATTTTACTTCTCAGAGATGGCTGAATTTTGTCCTAATGCTAAAGAGATCTACTTAAAATTTAATTTACTAGTAGTCCAATTTTCTTGCCATCTCGAAGAGCGTTTCTATCCACCAAAAGGCAATCATTGCTGGTAATGCAGGAGTCTTCCAAATAGAACTTTCCATTTACTCGTAAACTGAGGTATTTTTAAAATGCTATTCATATATGCCATGAATCACTTCCCAGATTACCCGGCTCCCGTAGCACAGTCGGTTAGAGCGTCGTACTTATAAGCAGTACCGGCGTAATGCTACCATTGGTGCTGAAGTAATGCGAAGGTCGGGGGTTCGAGGCCCCCCGGAGCACAGTTTTTGTTAATTAACCTTTCCAGACCATTCAAGAACACTTCCATTTTGCAACAAGCTTAGAAAAGTATGATCTATTGGAGGAAAATCACATAAATGACGTAAACATCATTTTGCTTCTTCACCTCCTTTAATCGATAGATTGTCGTGCCATCAGCTCGGGCGGTAAGAACGTTATAAGTAATGCCGCCTCAATCTGCCGCTGACAACAGTGTTAAAGTAATATGAAGGTCAGGGGCTCGAAACGTCGAGGTTTTTAAGGTTGAAATAGTTCGCAATGACTTGACGCCCGACGTTGCTGATCGTGCAACATGGAAATGAAAAAAAAAAAGCTAACCCCGCCAGCATTATCATTAGACAAAATATATAAGAAATGAACTTTCATAAATGTCCACTGTTTTAATTAAAAAGCAAATTACTTTATGTTTCTAATTACTATTTCCTGTCTCCGTAGTAACAATTAATATGGAAACAAACACGATGTGGGGTCACTCTGATATCCTCCAAAATTTCCCTGACTCACCAATCATCTGAAATAACTGAAGAAAATTAAAATAAAACGGGTATGGCAGAAGTAGCTTTGGTAGTTCAGTTATTTCACTGCTGAATGATCTATATGCCTCTATTAACAGATAGACAAACTCTGACTGGGAGTTATCTGAGTGAACTGTAGTTGCTACAGTTACTGTTTCTGAGCCTCACTTTTACAATTTTTGTTGCCAACATTTTGTGAAATGTGCTTTTGGCGGGTGTTACCTATATTTACATCGAGGTACAATTAAATTATCTCCATCAATTCTTGATGCTCTCAGTAAAACGAACATATTGGCGGGGGACACACACGAAAACTTTCTTTGTGACCTGCACCACGGTCCATGTGGAAACACTTTAAGTTCGTTGAAACTCTCTTACAATAATGGCCTTGAATACACTTTTGTATCCTTGAAGCATTTATATATCAAGGCTTCTTTTTCCGTGTTCAATAATGTCTTTGTTGCTTTAGAAACATAAGTTCTAAGCCTGACTTAAATACAGAGTCGGGATTTCCCTCTTAGTCCCTCGTCCCCATAATTTTAAGTGAGTTTCATTACTGGGATCTTACTCCATTAAATAAATCCTTTACTAATGCTCAAAGATATCTACTTAAAATTCAATTTACCCGAGTAGTCCGACCGATTTCCTTGCCATCTCGAAGAGGGTTTCTATGCGCCAAAAGTCAATCATCAGTTCATCACTGGTAATGCAGGAGTTTTCCAAATAGAAATTTCCGTTTAGTTATAAACTGAGGTATTTTTAAAATGCTATTCATATATGCCATGAATCACTTCCTAGATTACCCGGCTCCCGTAGCACAGTCGGTTAGAGCGTCGTACTTATAAGCAGTACCGGCGTAATGTTACCGTTGGTGCTGAAGTAATGCGAAGGTCGGGGGTTCGAGGCCCCCCGGGAGCACAGTTTTTGTTAATTAACCTTTCCAGACCACTCGAGAACTCTTCCATTTTGCAACAAGCTCAGAAAAGTACGATCTATTGAAGGAAAATCACATGAATGACGTAAACATAATTTTGCTCCTTTATCTTCTTCAATTGATAGATTGCCGTGCCATCAGCACGGGTGGTAGTAACGTTATAAGTAATACCGGCTCAATCTACCGCCGACAACAGTGTTGAAGTAATATGGAGGTCAGGGGCTCGAGGCGTCGAGGTTTTAAGGTTCTAAATAGTTCGCAATGACTTGACGCCCAACGTTGCTGATCGCGCAACAGAGAAATGAAAAACGAACTAAGCTAGCCTCGCCCGTATTATTTAGACCAAATACATAAGAAATGAACTTCCAGAAATGTTCACAGTTTTAATTAAAAAGCGATTTTTCATCATGTTTCTAATTACTACTTCCTGTCTTCGTGGTCAGTGATAGTTAATAGGGAAACAAAAACGTACTGGGGTCACTCTTATATCCACTGACTGTGGTTTAAAATTTCCCTGACTCACCAATCATCCAAAATAAGAAAATGCAGATAAATTGGGTATGGCAGAAGTAGCTTTGATAATTCAGTTATTTTACTGCTGAATGATCTATTTGCCTCTTTTAACTGATGGACAAACTCTGACTGGGAGTTATCTGAGTGAACTGTATTTGCTACAGTTACTGTTTCTGTACCTCATTTTTCAATTTTTGTTGCCAACTTTTTATGAATTGTGCTATTAGTGGGTTTTACCTTTACCTCTATTTACATCGAGATACAATTCAATTATCTTCAGTTTTGTTGCTCTCAGTCAGAACGGATATATTGACGGGGGACACACACGAAACCTGTCTTTGTGACCTCGAGTAACATACCACGGTACTTATGGGAAAAATTCAAGTCCGTTAAATGTCTCTTACAGTAATAGCCTTGATTCCCTATTGTATCCTTGAAGCATTTATATCAAGGCTTCTTTTTCCGTGTCCAATAATGTCTTTGTTGTTTTAGAAACATGAGTTCTAAGCCTGACTTTAGTTCGGAGTCTGACGGTAGATATTGGTCCTCAACTAACTCATCTTCAAAGTCAGCTTCAGTGAGTTCCACCTCATCTTCTGAAGTGGTGAAGCTACTTCTCCGTGAGGACGCCGTGTAAACTTGTTCATCCAGTGAATCTACTTTGATCCCATCTCGGTTTGACCTGATATGTTTAATTACAACTATACCGACCACTGCCCCCAACACCACGATACCTAAGACGATCCCAGCTGTTGTTACAACTATTGAGGTCGTATTCTCGCGTTCGGGGACCTGAAAATGAAAACATGACATGTCACACGTGGTTCAATTCTCAATCAGTCAGTCAGTCAGTCAGTCGATCAATTATTTGGTAGGTCAGAAGCCGGTCAGTCACGCCAGTCAGTCACTCAGTCAGTCAGTAGTCAGTCGTTAGGCCAATCAGTTAGTCAGTCAGTCAGTCAGTTAGTCAGTCAGTCAGTCAGCTTGTCAGCTTAGTTAGTCTAAGCAGTTATTCTATTAAATTGCTAAATTCATTTTGACTAATACAATCGATCATTTTTATGGTAGCTCAAATCATAGCACGACACTGTAATTTGGCAGATTAGTGGTTTCACATTGAAAAGTGGCGATAATCAGTTTTCCGTTGGCGATGAATACTTGGGAATCGAGGGGAAAAAGTTATCATTAAGGTGTAGGGGCATTTTACGCCTTTCACAGTGAGCGCTAGTCAAATGCCCCATTATGTCTCGGCCGGGATTGGCTGCCGGGATTGGGATGGGGAGCAATTAAAAGTATGAAAAGCAATTGTTTAACTTACCCTGATAGTTTTAATGATCGTCTTTGTCCTCTCATTTTTGTTTGTTTCTTTGTTATGCGAAGCAGTACTCGCAAGGAATGCATCCATCATTTTCTCGGAGTTTCGTAATTTTTCCAGTTCCTCCAGTTTATCGACTTGCTTATCTTCCGACTTCGTCTTGTGCTTTTTGAATCCATCTTTGTGAATGACATTCTTGGAGGAAGATGAGTTATTACTTTTTTTATCTAAGAAGACAAGACAACACGTTAGTGTAAAAGAACAACACTTAAACGAAGGTCGTGGTGCTCTAGCCGCGAGGGTAAAGTGAAGAAAGACAAAAATTCATAACTTTCAGACGCTCATTTATGCAGTAATGTTGGATGGTACCTTTAAGATGCACCATCAAATTAATAATTCTTAAGCCAGATTTGGTTGCACTGATCGGCTTGACTAAAAAAACTTGCTAGTTTCATGAATTGTGCATACGTAAAAACATTCAGCTTATTATTCAACTCATCTTTATTGATAACACTGCTCAGCTCACCGGCAGTTTATTGTTTGCGTGGGACACACCTTTTTTGGTAAAGGACTCCCTGAAAACGAGGTATGAAGCTTTCCTGTACTCTCTGCGGTTAGTAGGTTACAAATAAATTCAAGGATATGAATTGAACAGTATCTATCTTCCGGTGAGAAGGAAGACTCAGACAATTTTTCTTTACCTGGCACCAAAGAGTTGTTTTGTCCCTCCGGTGTATAGTAACATAGAAAAAACATGTGGTCTTTTTCTGCTCGGTGTATGCCGAACGGGAATTCACCACCCTCATAATCGATATTGCCTCGGTCCTCGTCATCAAATTTGACGAACTCTGTCTCCACTCTCATCCCCTTAACCTAAAGATAATGATTACAAAATAAACAAATAAAATCAAATTTTCATTTAAATTTGTAGTTCTGCTCTTTGATACCACTAC